CTTGAGTCAAGCCATGGGCTACGGCCAAATACCTCAACGAAGGTTCTCGCAGCCAGCCATCAGCTCTCCTCTGTCCTCGAACGGGAGTAACAAGCATTTAAATCTGGCTGGCTTACTGCCCAGTACTTTCGACATCCAGCGCTACGTGAACGCCTACATACAATACTTCCATCCCCATATGCCCTTTCTACATATTCCAACACTATCTTTCGATACCCCAGCGTACACATATCAGCTCCGCACTGCTGGCACATTCAACCAAGACACCATGGTTGGGGGAGGTGGTTGTTTGATTCTTGCAATGGCCGCAATTGGCGCCCTCTACGAATTTGAGCAAAACGTAGCCAAAGACTTGTTCGAGGCAGCAAAGAAGCTGATTCTCTTCTATCTTGACGAGCGCCGCAAAGCCGGCCTATCCGCTGTCAACGGACCTAGTGCTGCCAATGATAACATCAACAAACCACCCTTGTGGCTGGTCCAGGCCATGCTACTCAATCTCATTTTCGGACTCAACTGTGGCGACCGACAGGCTGCAGAGGTCGCAAGCACACATTGTGCGGCCCTTGTGAGTCTAGCAAAAGCTGCAGGCTTGGACAAGCCCACTCCTCCGGAGCAGACTATGCCCAGCCCCCCAAGTAATACCAATGGGGATTTCAACATGTCAGATGATTCGAACCCGTCTCTTGATCAACAAAAGGATACTATAGATGAGCACACACAATGGATACAATGGAAGAAGGCCGAAGAGCGCAAGCGAACCTACTTCGCCATCTTCTCAATGTCGAGCTTGCTCGTTTCGGCATACGCACACTCACCTCGGATTCTGAACTCGGAGATCCATCTGGATCTCCCTTGTGAAGAGGATCTCTGGTCCGTCGACAACCCTCAAGCATGGGTAGCAATGGGAGGGCCGATGCTTGCGCAAACTCGGGGCTTGTCCTTCATTACTGCAATGACATACCTCCTTGAAGCTAGTACACGACAATCAACCTCGAGAATGCGCAATGCCTACCCAAATGCCTTTTCAGGAGGCCAAACTGTCAATACCCTTTCCGAGAGCGATATTCGGCCTAGCAGTTTCGGTTGCTACGTGCTGATAAACGCGATGCACGTATATATTTGGGAGACGAGGAATAGACACAATGGTCGCTTGTGGAAAGCCCATGAGACAGAAGCTATGCATGCGCAAGTCGAGCCTGCTCTCAAGGCTTGGCAAGTTGCTTGGAGAGCCAATCCAAACCATAGCATCGAGCGACCGAGTCCCTTTGGGCCTTTGTCTGCTGATTGCATACCGCTGCTGGACCTTGCCTATGTGAGGCTTTTCGTAAATCTTGGTCGAGCAAAAGAGCTTCTGTGGCAACGTGACTTTGACGGCATGGCAAATGAGTTGGCCAGAGGTGTTGATGTTGTAGGTCAAACGGAAGATTCACCTGAACGGTCCTCTTCTATGGACCTAAGTCAGACGGCTTCTCCGGGTCAAATGAACTCGCAGGACCAAATCAGCCCTGGAAACAGTGGCAATGGTCTTCCCAACAGTGCTTCTTCGAAACGCGAGAGGCATCTCCGCAAGGCTGCCTTCTATGCCGCCGACTCTCTCACCATGGCGCATAAGCTGAACTCCTCATTCGCCGACTTCACTGCCAGGGAGTTGCCCAACTCTTCTGCATTATGCACATTCGACTGTGCACAGGTCCTGGCCGAATGGGTTGCAACACTTCAAGACCGTGTCGGACGCTATCTTGGAGTGTTGGGCAGGGACGAAGTCAATTTCTCAGAAGTCCCAGCGATTTTGCTACTCGAAGAGGAAGACGTGAAGCTGCTACAGAAGATTGCAGACATTCTTCATCACGCAGATATGAAGCTGGCCTACGATATCTCCTCAAACAATATGCCGATGCTAGGTGGTCTTTCAAACCTGGGACATTGCGGCTATGGTACCAAACTACTGATGATGACGGCCTACATGCTATCCAAGTCAGTTGTCTGGCCTGGTAAGTAAACATCCGAACCTGTATATATCAGCACTAATGTTGTCGCAGTCACTCATATACAAGCACGTGCTCTCGAAGCACACGCTCACCATATCAGCCAACGTGCGGAAAATTCTACCATTCAGTAAATACCAGTTGTCACCGAACCTGTACACTACCATAAGACACGGAATCTCTTCGGTGACTGTTCTTGTTAACCGTCTTCGCATTTCTGCCGCACAGTGTGTAGCGACTCCATGAGGGCTATTTTGCGACCCCAGCACCTATCCTCAAAGTCTTCTTCTACGACATTTTTAATCCTTTGCGCTCGGCAGCAGCGCTTCCGAAGCTTCGCCAACAAAACAAAATACCAAACGTAAAGATATGGCTTTGACATGGATTTTCTCAGATGTACAGACGAGCTAGGTCAGGGCAACCTACTTTCGATGTCATATCCGACCATCACAAGCACTGTTCTCTTTTTTTATTATCAGCAGGCGTTTGGAAGGAATGCAAGAGCGTTCCGTTTTTCACAACTCACAGGTTATGTATTAGGGTTCTTTTTGTATAAAGGTTTCCATGCATGAGGCAATCTCGGCTAGGTCCGCAGACCTATCTCTTATGAGATTGGCAATTTACTGCGCATATTCGAAAGAAGGGACGATGTTACGACATATTCCTTCACTCACTATATTTATGTAAGGAAACCGGGCTATCGGAGTGGGTTGGCGCAGATGGGAACTCACGGCCCAAAAAAAGTGTTATGGATGTACGCAGTCTAGTGACTTGATGCACGAATTGAATGAAACTTTTTTCTCTTCTCTCTTACAGCATTGCTGCTACTCTGAATATGAACTATTTGAGCAAGTAGTCGTTGTTCAACAATTTTGACGTCCGCTTGCTAAATCACGGTCGTAAATTCTCGCAATCAACATGATATAATACAAACTCTCGGGTTTTCACCACAATCCGAATCTTCTTTGCTTAGCTACATTGGTTGAAAGAAATGAACTTATGGTAGACAGTGTCATGCTCGTATTCAGAGATAGTAGATGAAGCCATGTTGCATTGCCTAAAAAACACCCCGAATTCGGCACAAATTTTGCAGTCTTAGGGGATTGTGGCAGATTTCTCGATGTCTCCTGTGTTTAGGACTCCTCTCTACCCAAAGAACCACAGAATGTTTGAGTCCTACCGTTTGAACAAACTTACCTCAGATGGTGCGCAGTGCGCTGATTGGCTGAGCACCAAAGCTTGGATCGCGTGCACCTTCCGCGTATAATCATTGTTGATCCTAAAACCACGACGCAACTCGAGCAGCGACACACAAACACAAAAGCCAACGTTGATTGCCAACTCCACGAGAAAGAGATATAGTAGATTAGTCCGGCAGTATCTTGCACAAGAAAACAACAACATGTCAAGGCCAGCGGCGCGGAAAGCGGCGCCCAAGGGCGAGTACATTGAGACGGTGCGTCTGAACTTCGCCCTATGAACATATCCAGCCAGCACAACATCATTACATCACACATTTTATTCTCTGAAAGAACAACCAATCCCATTATCTTCCCAGTAGCTACATCAACTACCCCAAACCCACCATGCCACTACTTGACCACAACCACAGCCTCTAACCCTCCCACCCCCCAGGACTCAGGCAACAAAGTCTCGCGCCGCAGCGCCATCACGGGCACGGCCAACATCACGCTCGGCGGCCGCACCGTCATCATGGCCGACGTGCAGCTCCGCGGCGACCTGCATCCGACGCGCAGTGCGCCCTCGCAGTCCGGCAAGGACGTGACGCCCACGAGCATCAGCATCGGGCGGTGTACGGTGATTAGCCAGGGCAGCGTGATCAAGCCTCCTAGCAGAATTAGTAGGGGCCAGGTCCATTATTATCCTATGAAGATTGGGGATAATGTTTTTGTTGGTACGTTTACATCTTTACCCTATTTTCCTTCCTCTTGACTTAGCGTGTTTGTATGGGAAATGATTTTTTTTTGGCCAAAGAGGACCTACCATGGATTCTATCTTGTAAAAAAGATGTAAAATAAAATAAAATATGAGAGGGTCGGCGGGATCTAACTATTGTGACTCTTAGGTCCCAACTCAACTATCCAAGCCATTTCCATCTCGTCTCATGTGCATGTTGGGAATAACTGCACTATCGGTCCTTTTGTCATTATCAAGGAGAATGTAAAGATATTGCCTCACACTGTTGTACCTGCAAATATGGTCATTGCATCTGGCTCTGTCATCGGCGGCCGGCCCGCACGTGTAGTCGGCGATGTAGGTGAAGGATGGGGTGTTAGTGGTGGAGGAGGCGGCGGACTGGGTGTTGGAGGCGGAGGCGAGGAGAAGTGGGTTGAAGGTGGTGATTTGAGGGAGTTGGTGAGGAGTATACGGTAACCGCAAAGTCTGTCCAGTCGAGTCAAGTTGAATGGGCAGGGGGGGGGGAGGTGTAGGAGAAAAGGGGAAAGTTGCAAGTTGTTCTTTAGCCAATCCCGGTTTTATATGTATGTATTAAGATGGAATCTATCTATCTGTTAAAAGGCCGTTCGTATGTACAGTGTATCTAATTGCTATGATATGCTATGCTTTGCTTGGGTGAGAAAAGATCTCCGTCTACAAGACAATCTAGTGTCTTGCTACAGCCAGCCAGTGGTGCGGAGGACGCGGAGGGGGACCGTAGGACTGAACCGCTGGTTCGTCCAATTGTACTGCATGGGCAGCGACTATGGACTCATCGCAATAGAGCGATAAGAAAAGGCTGGTCACTTCATGTCTCTGTCTCTTCCTCGCTCTCTTTCCCTGCTTCCTCCCTATCCCTCAATCATCTCTCTGTGCTCGCGACTCGTCCTAGCCTATGCTGCATGCCAGGCTGCATTAGTTCTCCTGCCGTGCTCACTTGGCACTTGTAAGCATGCGAACGTAATTTTTTTTCCTTTGCCGCGAAGCATTATATTCTAATCTGACCAGTTTTTTTTCTCTAAAAATCCTAACAACTACGCCCAAGAAAATAACAAGCTTTCATACTAATTCTGCTCCCTTATGGGCTTTGACTTCCATGGTGGTGAGCTCGAATTCCCTTTTCTGAAAGATGCCTTGGTTGTCCCATGAGTCGGGGTTGGGCTCGCTCTTTGTGTCGTTGAAGGTGGTGCGTGCGTCGGAATAGATGTGTGCCTTGTGGGATGATTTTGTGCCAATGGTTGGGCCAGGCCCGAATCCGAAGCCGAAGATGGATGGGCCTCTGCGGTAATAGTGTCAGCAATGGGTCGATAATATATATGAAGATAGAGTTAAAGTGGGGCGGGACAGCTCCGTAGGTTCCCGTAGCTGACCTGGGTCATCACGCCATATTTGTTTCAACGTACCTGCTACGCCTAGTCAACTCATCGCCAGATGATGCGAGTTTCTTTGAAGTGAGAGAGGTTTTGATGTCGCGAATAAGAGGCCGTAAGACGGGAATACACTGGACGATGATGGTGCCGACAATCTCTGATGAGTACCAGATGTTGGAGTGGGCGTTGCGCCAAAAGTACCATTCGTCTTTCTGGTTACCCTCGTCCTTCCAGCTTGTGCGGACAGCTGATACAACAGCGACAACCATACCCTGATTTTTGTTAGCGATGCTGATACAAAGATGAATCGAGGCCCAAAAAGCGCGTATATCGTACTAGACTCATGGCAACACAAAGACCAATCTTCTCAACCCTTCGCATATCGAGGTTCCAGGTAATGACCCATGGGAAGACTGCCAGGACGAAATCCATAATAATGTTGTAGACGTTGCCACCCTCTTTGAAATCATCCCTGAACTTTGGCTCGAGGCAAAAGTCAAGACGATACCAGACGTCGTAGGACGACTTTCCGCAGACCTTTGCCCACTGAAGGATAACTTTTGCGATCATGTACGAGTTCATAGAAGCGATACAGAACCAGAGGATCCATCTTCCCCAGTTCTTGGTCAACTTCAGCAGAGTAACTGCAAATGCCGTCTTGGTAAGCGATTGGTTGATAAGAGTACCGCACGAAGTGATATTGATGAGTATGTGCATGCGATCATCCCAGGTGGCTTGGACATAACCAGTTGCGTATTCAAGAGTAATGATGGAGTTGTTGGCAGCCAGTATCACCTACAACATAGTCAGTACTGGAGCGGTTACTCCTCAACGCGCACATGGTTACTCACCCATGAAATGAGGAGAATGTGGTCATCCCACCACAAACCATGTCGGCGAGTAACTTTGATCCATATCCTCATAGCCAAGAAAACAGTTGCGCCGGCAAAGAGCGTCCAAAGGCCGACATTGAGTTGGACTGCTGGGTCCACATAACCGTGTTGCGCACCATCGTGTTTCCTACGGGAGATCATCTTGTCATGTCGGTCGAGACAGCAACCGACGTACTGCACGGGGCGCCTGGAATCGAAAAAGAGTGTAAAGGTAACTGCAGACCAAGATAGTTTAAAAGAAAGTATGAACGAGCGGACGAGCGAACGAAATCTTCCGGTGCGCTGCAGGTGGAATAGATAGGACCGGGGTGGTTGGTGGACAAAGGAATGGACAGAATCGTCGCGCAGGATTGGAGCTGGGCCAGGCTCGAGATGATTCAAACCCCCCCGCTCGGTCTTGCGCGAGGACCTGTGATGCTCTAGTTATCTTCAGGCTGTCTCCCTCGCATGGCTCACCAATATGCCGGGGATTCCAGACCCAGAAATCGTGAAATGAGGTCCCGACCCACAGGACGATTGGTGGAACCACCAGTCCAGTCGTGGTCAAGTCACCGGGGCCGTTGCACAATAACGGTCTTGTTTCCGTTAGATCCTGGGGAACCTCATATGGCTTGCTAGCCAAAAGCAAGTCTTTGCTCATTCCTACTCGGCTTCTAGAGGTGTGGACTGACGCGGAAAGCCCACTGTCAAGTGCAACCGAGGAGTGAACAGGCCGATCCATGCCGTGTTTGTTTAAGCGGTGGGTCGATTCATGAATCGCCGAACACGATGGAATCTGAGACAGATGCCACGCGCCTCTCCTAGGCCTTTAAACGGTTTCGGGGCGCTCGAGGGCAAACCGTCGCTCGATTTACCACAAGTGTGCAGTCTTCGATCCAAACAGAACTCCTGCAGGGCATCGTATTGGTATAGTAAGCTCATAGTTACTGGCGGAGAATTTGCTTCTTGTCGTATCCCTGTAAGGCGGCTGCACGGGCACAGTCGAGTTTGATTGACGCAACTTGTCAGCAGCCAAGTTGGTGCCGCGGGAGGAGGAAAGGGCTTACCCAAAGGAAAAACCCGCAGTTATGCCGTTTGATAAAGACAGGCGTACCCAGCGGGCAGGCCCTGCTGTTGGGAGTCTCTGACGGCGATGAGGACGGATTGGACAAACCACGAAGGACGGAATAGGGAGGCTTTGTTTCAAGCCATCACATGCCAAGCAAACATGACATGGCTCAAAATCCCACAAGAGGGAAAGCCGGGTCCGGTCCGAGCTTGTACGTCATCCTCTCGGGTATCGTCCTTAGAACCCGCGCACGAGTTTCAGCTCGGCCCTTGGCGCTTCCAGCAACATACTCACATGCACTTGTAAACATGGGGTAAATAGATTGATATACAGTATTGGACTATTGAATGGCGTGTCGCTATGCTGATTGAGACGGTCTTCTGGAAAGAATAAACGCGGGCACCAGTGAACCAGAGCGCCGCTACACCTTGCTCGACGCTAGTCGGCCAGACTTGGATTGTAATATATTATCTGCTCTCCATGACAAAGGCGTCTCAGCGCGCTGCTGGTACCTCGGCCTTTTGACATGTAGCCGTCTCAGCAGCGTGACAGCGTAGAAACACGACTATAGTAAACATGCTAGTCATTGTTGTATGTAACAACTATATTCATCCTCGTCAACATGGACTGATCTGGCAATTAGATACACAGCTCGTATAAGAGTAGCCTCACACATGGTGCGACCCGCAAGCCACTTTGTGAGGCAAAACAAATGCCTAGCGCTTACGCAAGTCCAGCTGAAGATCAAAGCAAAACACGGTTCACTCGCGTGGAACCTCCACGTTCATCTATGCGAACTCTAAACAAGCCCAAACACGCCTTTTCGTTGACTGAACCACTGGTCTGGAGGCCCGGGTGGCGGCGATGACATGCTCAAAGCTTGACAGAGTCGCACTACATACGTATCCCTCAGTGCGCGGCGAGAAAGTCGGCCAAAATATAGAGTTGTAACAACATCTGAGAACACTTCTCCCAAATCGCTATAAATAATAGTGCCATGAATTGTATACGACATTGTTTCAAGTAGAAAATATTGGCATTGGTTATCACGTGTTCTTCCTCAGCACTGTCAAGGGTCAAGTATTGGTATAAAAAGTGTTGAAAACAATCGCTCTGTTTTGGCGGCGCGGGTTCTGGTCAACATGTTTTTCCTATCGAATTGGCAGACCGCTACAGTTTCCAACAAGCGAGGGGTGCTCGTATCTGGTAGTAGCGATATCCCTGCTTGGAGATCTGCGTCTTACTGGGATGATGCAAGTTCGTTAGGGCAAGCACGCAAGAAAGGGTATGTAGATGGACGCTACGTCCGTATGTATCCCCAATGAACAGTCTTGCATAACATCGCTTGTCTGTATTTACCTCATGTTTTCCCGAGTATTATGCCTGTAACTTCCAAGACATATATAGTTATGATTCGCGCAATTACCGGGCTAGCGCTCTACTAGCCTAAATACCTTACCTCAGAATAGAACCTTTGATTTCGCTCATAATACCACGTTGGAACCGCGTACGAAAAAGGTTCTCACGGGGGCAAAGGGCCGTAAATTGTTGCCGTGGGGTCCGGAAGCACAGGACTGCAAAAAGCCACGTGGGAAAGGTAGATGACGATCTTAATTAATAAACGGCGATAGACTGCACTCAATCGGATCTCCAAAGGTCCCCTCGGGCTGCAGGCGCTTTGGGCTCAGCTGAAAGTGCACTCACCAGGTTAGCCTGGGGAAAAATAACAAGAGACCCTTTACGCATAGACCTACTATCTATATTTATGCAAGTGTAAGTGTTAGTATCGAGGATTGATGATTCACAGTACGTGTGTACATCAAATCATAAGCCCACCTCGCTTGCTGGTGAACTACGCATAGTTTCCCTATCTTATTACGCCATAGCATTTCGCCTCGTATTCATGACATGCATCATTTCGATCCCCGCAACCCAAGGCTTGAGCGCACGAAAATAACCCGAAGTCTTGTGGCCAGCGCAGTAGCCTTATCCCCGATCTCAACGCTGGAATAGCGACTGCTCTTAATAATCAAGCGCTCCGGTCCCTTTCCTGGCCTGCATCGTCCAATCATGGCATCATGAAAACACTTGCTATTATCTCTCTCATTTTCGGCACCACTGCGGTGCATTCACATCGTATCCCACACTGATCATACGGCTGAAAGCGCTGAGAACTCACCCACGTGTTCCGTGAACCATCACTACTCAACAAGGTACTCAGAGCAAACTCTAGGAATGTATGATATGATATATTTAGATGTTAATTCAGCATACTAGCCAATCCCACTATGCATCAGCTGTCGTCGTTTCTGGGATACTAAGCACTCACTTACTGGTAGTAACAGGACCAAAGTCAAGAAATAACAATGCAGGATAATCATCTCGCAAAAGTAAATCCCGCGGATGCAAGTACACGAAATAACCCAAGAATGATATCAGCTGATGTAGTCTCCTTTCGTATATTCACACCGTTTTCTCCATATCTCTTCATTGTCATTTACGGTCCCAAAAGCACATGTTTGATGCAGACAACAGTGACAAACCAGCAGGTACTCATACGTACGAAAAGCCATTGGAATAAATACACAGAACCATGTCTATCTCAATGCAAAATCCAAACTATTAGAAATTTCCCTAAGACATAATATATCCTCCACAAAACAACCAGCAAAAAGACGCCCAGGTAAAAAAAATCGCAAATACACAATTTACCCAAATGGACCATAAATTAGCAACAAACGACTGCGAAAAAGAAAGGGACGACCTGTATAGTGACAACTAAATATATAAACTAGAATTTATCCCCTTGCCACAAAGACCTTTCACACGATACAAGAAGATTTCAACACCCCATCCCTCCTACCAACCCCCCCAAGTCCACCACATATCACCGCCCTAAACACTTACTCATCACACACACACACATCTCCATTCCTATCACCTCATCCCTGTCGTGCCCCACCCCATCCTTTTTCCTATTTATCTATCCATTTATCAAGTCTGTAATATATAAACTTTTATACCAATATTCATCTTGACGAGCCTACTTCCCCTGGGAGATAAGTTATCGAACTGAACTGAACATGACACGAAGGGGGGGGGGCGTGTATATTATCGGTGATTTGATGGTACTTTTGATATTTGTGAATGGGAGTATGGGGGGAGTTGAGAGGGAGGTGTGGAGTGGTATTGATTGGGGGGGGGGGAACTTGTGAAGGGCCTTTTTTTCGAGGTTTGTGTGGGAGAGGTCAAGAAATGTTGGGTAAAGAGAGATTGTGACGCGAGGGAGTTAGGATATGATGTGGGAGAAGAAGAAAAAAAAGGGGAAAGTGTGTGGGTTGAATGGGTATTGTTTAAGTGTTACACTTCGGTGATGTATCCTCCCTTAGTGCGTAGTAGAATATCTCGCGAAGAAAGAAAGAAAGAAAGAAAAAAAACAACAGAGATTTCGGAATAAATTTAAGCCACTGGTATTTAAGCAAGTCAAATAACAAGCAGTCCATATTAATTTCACCATTCACAGAGAGATGGACACAATGATTGTAAGACAAAAGATATATATTGTAGGGTGGTATAAAGCTTAGCACACACTCTCCGTGTGCACTCCAAAGAATCGAAAAACGAATTTTTTTTGAAAGATGATGAGTGAGCAACTTCATCAAAGTCCAGCAAACAGTTAGCAGTAGTAGCATCCAGTCTCCGCTTCTCAGCAAAGTCATCAACCCCTTGCCCCCCCTGTCAGTTCCTTTCCCCCGGTCATCGTTTCAAGAAAACTCCCTCGCACACTCTCTCTCTCGTATCGAACTTCCCTGAACAATCACATTTTTACAACCTCAAACCCCTGCGCATGGAACGCTTGGCAGCAGCAACATCCTCGGGACCACCATCAGGGTTGGTAACCGCACCGGGGAATCCAATAAGCGAGTTGAACTCATCGGCAAGAGCCTTGTTGCGGGTTCCGCCCTTGACAGCAGCGGCAGCGCTCTCGCACTTGGCGACGGCGGCGGCGTTGGCCTCGCAGACGTTGGTGAGCTGGTTGCAGAGGGCGTTGGTGATGATGTCTGGGTTGAGGGCTTCACCCTGGCCACCGCGTGCAAGGGGGTCCGCGATTTGGAAGGTGAATTCGTCGGCTGGGCGCCCGTTCTCCCCGCCTTGGAAGGTGATGGTTGGGGTGCAGAGACCAAAGTCTTCGCCGCCAGCTGCGGCTCCCGCGCCGGCGCCGGCACCGGCACCAGCGTTGTTGTTGTTGTTCTGGTTGCCAGCATTGGCGTTGTTGTTGTTCTGGTTGCCGGCGTTGGCGTTGTTCTGCTGGTTGTTCTGCTGGTTGTTGCCGGCGTTGTCTTCAGCAGCATCCTCGTTGGCATTGTTGTTGTTGTTGTTGTTCTGGTTGCCAGCGTTGTTGTTGTTGGCAGCATTTCCATTACCAGCAGCAGCGTTTCCGTTACCAGCAGCAGCGTTGCTGTCGCAAGCAGCGGCGTTGTCGCCAGTAGCAGCTTGGTTGTCAGCAGCAGCGCCATTGTTGTTGTTGCCAGCGTTGGCATTGTTGGCGGCGTTTCCGTTGCCAGCAGCTGCATTATTGTTTCCAGCAGCAGCGTTGTTGTTGTTTCCAGCAGCGGCAGCACCTCCTGCAGCGGCACCACCCGCACCACCAGCAGAAGCCTGGCTGGCAACCAAGTTGCCAAGTCCAGCCTGATCCATGAGATCAAACACACTCAGTCCGTCAGCAGCAAGGGGATTAGCAGCAGAGCTCGCGCTAAGAGCAGCGGCCTCGCCATTGACATCGACAGCAGGGTCGATGAGAGGAGTGATACCACGGAGCTCGGGGGTAACAGGAAGTGAGGCATCACCACAGACATTCTGAACGTTGCCGTTGGCGAAAGGATTGGTGTTCTTCTCTGCTGTTACCATGCCAATAGCAGCAGCGAGGGCATCAGCACCACCACCGAGCTCAGTGAAGATTTGGTCAGCGCGGACGAGCTGGGTGGTTTGTTAGTATAATGTTCTGAAAAAAAAAACACATTGAAAGATAGGCATGTACGCACCTTGTCGCAAGAGTTGGCTGCACCAAGCAAGTCAGAAATAGCAGCTCCCGCAATGGTAGCAGCAGCGCCGCCTGCACCACCCTGAACTCCGCTGATGGCCGCAATAGGAACCTGCTCCTGTCCGAAGCGAGCCTCGACGTAGGCAATGACAGCCGCGATGATGAAAACCTTGGAGACCATGTTGTCTGATTTGCAGGTATATTTTCCGAAAAAGGTAATAATCGTAAGGGTGTAGAAAGTTAAATTTTATCGGTCGTAATACGGTGTGAACTGGGGGGCAGAACACAAGAAGGGACAAAACAACGAGAGAACTAGCTCTTTGATTGGGTGTTGTGTAAAAGTTTAAAAATAAAATGCCAACCTGGGCGAATGAATGTAAAAATTGCTGAGAAAGCGAAGGGAAAGGAGTTGCTGGATGCTACTGTTGACTTGATGATTGTCGAAGTTGCTGACCTTCAATACGAGGCGAACGTTACAACAACTTATATACTATGTCCCGTCAACCATAGGTGCGCACCGTTTTCTTTCTCCACTTCGAATCCAAGACATTGTTCTTTAGCCGCCATGACAAGTGATGCCTCTAGGATCATACACACGTCTCATCCATGCGCCTAGATCCATGTGGCAGCTGCCATCATCACCTAGAACAGACCGGAGCGAGCGAAAACGTGATGAAAGAATGATCGAGGGGTGTTCCTGCCAAGGCGTCATGCATTCTTTAGGCATGATGGGACGTATGATTGCCGGGCTGCGACTCTTGGTAAGCCTTGGAGTCCGTCTCCTTAAGGCTTCTGCGCGGGGCCAACGTCTCGAAGCGTCGACGTTGCCGGCTGCCTGAAGTAGGGTTGTGACGGCCTCAGTCGCGGTAGGGTTTCATGTGACCTTGCGACACCGCGCTGTACCAATAACCACCGGCAAAGACACCCTCTGACAGCGGCGATCACCACTGCATGACATTCTGGAGCTTGACTGTGAACCATGGAAAAAACAGATTTCGCAATGCACAACAAAACAGTTTCTGAATGCATGGATACAAACGCAATGCAAGGGCGTGGGCGGCAATGATGTCAAGATGCTGATATTGGGAAGGAAGACGCGGCCTTGCAGGGGCGCTGAATGCTACCAAAACATTCCTGCTATACCCAATAGTACTGAAAACATGCCCAGGAGTCAAGATATGAGTCGAGTACATACTATGTTCATGGTACCTGATGTTAAGCGAATCCCAAGGGGGCCAGGGGTAGTGAGTAAGCTGGGCGCATGGCCTCGGACTGCACTGTGCCGGCGTACGCTTGCGCGTTCGACCGTCGATACTTGTTGGCAACCTGGCTGTAGTATACAAAGTCCGTATCATTCGGCTCCACGGCCCGAGGTTGCAGTGTCTACAACGTCATCACCAGGCATTCACTATGTCCTATCCAACTTCCTCCGCAACAGCCTCGTCCTCTTCATGAGCTTCTTGTACTTGTGCTTCTTCATCTTGAGCTTCCTTTGCCTCTTTACACTAATCAGATACATTCCAAATCTTCGTTTTGCAACATGTTGCCGGAAGCTTCTTGGTTTGCTCTCTTCTGAAGGTAACGTGACTTCAGTTATACGCTGGTTAATGCTAGCTGAGAGACCCTCAGCCGAGTATGAATCAGTCTCAGGTTCCGTTGCCAGGGGGTCGTACGGCTCGGGTGGTGCCGGCGGCTGAAAGGGAACGAGACGAGCTGCCCAACTCTCTACGCTGTGTTGTGTCGGTTGAACATCAAGGTGATATACCTGCTGGTCCGACTGTGTCGCATCAGCTCGTTGCTCCTCCTGCGCATCAATCTCGGCATGCATGCGCTCGAGGAATCCGCTGAGTACGTTCTTGGTTGCCTCTATCCTCTCAACCTGACTAGCTCGGTCCACGTCGAAGAAGGCGTCAAATTCGGCGGTCGAGGTCGAGTTGGGGAACGCGCGCGAAATAGAAATGGGGCGGTGGAGACCGAAGAAGGCCGATAACTTGACATCTACACCAAATTAGTATATACATGGGGGGGTATTAGTATTTTCTGCATCTCACCATCTTCCCGGAGGTGGTTGGTCGGCGGCACAAAGGGCACATTGTTGCCCAAGGTCGCAGTCGAAGGCTGTTTCAGCTTCTTCTGCCCCTTGGTCTTCTGTCCTGCACCCTGAAGTTCTGCTGTAGCATTCTGATCTAATTCGGCGGGCTTCTTCTTGTTGTTTGCGGGGGTCGAGGGCTTGGACGACGAGTAGCGGCGCTGGTGACTCGGCCGGAAAGGCTGTTGCGGTGCAGTGCTTGTGCTCAGCGCAGAGCGGGCACATGCATTTAGCGCGGCATAAGGCGCAGCAGAGAAGGTGTTTGCAGAGCGAGCGACTCTGCCAACGGCTGGCGAGAACATGGCCAGTCGGGTAGAGGGGGCAGGTATGACGGTGTTGTTGATGAGGCTCAAGGCGGCGGCCGGCTATCAGGACTTGCTGCAGGCTGCACCGCTCCGATGTTTCCCCGAATGGCACTAGCACTAGCAGCACATGTCACGAGGTCACATTGTCGGAACTACGATACCGAGTCGGAACCGGCGTACGTTGCACATATGATCAAGGAACGCATGCGCACATATCCTATTCAACGTGACAACACGAGATATCACTTGACTCACTTAGTAGTGTTTCCCCCAGTTTTCACTAGGAATGGCTAGGTTTGCCTCGCTGAACGCTCTTCCGAAACACCATAGTGGAGACCAGGTAAGGACTTAGCGGCGCAATATCACAACAAAACCTATAGAGTAGAATCACCATCTGCACACAAACTACTCCACTTCCCATACAACTCATTGCTATACCTGGAGACAATAGCCTTTTCTCCACTGGCTCAGCCATGCAACTCGTTTGATCCTCCTAGCACTCCACTTTATGTTGTTCCAACCATATCATAGCCCTTGTATAGCCGCCAACCCCGTCCAAACTTGACAGGCGCCAGAAACGTCGCATACGTTCCTACGACCCATTGGTGTCCAACCGCTCGAGCTCCAGCCTCACGCCAATGCTTCAAATTAGATGGCTGATGCTCGGGTCGTGCCGCTTTACCGTTTGTATGTAGGTTTGCAACTAGCCTACCGGACCACGCCGCAACGGCGGGCAGACATGGGAGAACCTCCGCGGACCCAGCTTTATTCCAACATCCTAACAAGGAGACTTTGACAGGTAAATACAACATGCACGGACTTTGTTAGTGAGGAACGAAGGAGTGAGACACTAGTAGTCAGATCCTGTATGAACTGGGATTGATTGTTCCAGTGTCATTTTGTATTGGGAGAGGCTGGGGTGATGGTGGGGGTCGGTTGTTTTGCACTTTCCTGATAGAGAAGGCGAGCAATGTATTCATAGAGTGCATTTATACTAGTGTTTGAAGGTGCATGTGTAGGTAAGTGAGTAGGTAATGCTCAGACATGCAGCCGTGACAGCAAAACGGGCTAGCTCGTCTTTGGCTGCAGACCAAAGCGAGGTTAGCAACTGTCTCCCTCTCAGGCCCCCCCCCCAAATCTAATCCTTGTGTCAATCTGTATAGATTCGCGCTTCTGGGAAGCCTTTCGCTACGCTCTGGCAAAACCGAAAAAGCAGCATAAAACCACCCAAGTAGACGCTGATGCATGCAAGAAAGATTGTGTGCCGAAGAGTTCAATCTAGAACAAAAGGAAATGGTTTGTGTGTGACGCTCTTCCAATTATCCGCTCACGGACCGGTGGGGTATACGCTTTGTACCCGGAAGCTGCATACTGTACACGTCTACAGACGCTGATCCATTTGCTCGCCAACTGACAATACCCAAGGGATTATATCGTAAAAGTGTCGTACAGTGGTGGAAGACGAATAGAAAATAGGACAAGATATAGGGGTATAAAAAGAAAGGAGCCGTGGATGTCGTTCTCTTGGAACCCACTGAAAAGCCTGTCTGTGGTCCGGTCCTGCTCATTTTGACCCTCCTAGGTAGGGCGGGTCTATTAGTGGCGGACGTACATGCACTGTAGCTCTCGCTCCAGCGCGTGTACAGTCTGCAGGGGTAGTGTAAACGGCCGTCCAGGCCGCCCTGCGCGTGGCGACCAATTGTGATTATTATAGTATCAGAGCATTAAGATTGCGCTGAACAATCATGTCCTGTACCGATGCCATTGTGATCTTGAGCAAATTGGTGTCGGTCGCGTTTGTGTAGTGGACGTAGACTTCCTTCTTTGGCTGGCGAACGAGATTGCGGAATTTGTTGGCGAAGAATTCTTTGCCGGCCTCGAAGTCCGTGGGTCCGCCGGTGTAGTCGGGAAATGTCTTGTTGATTGGGCTCATGCCTCCAGCAATTTTTTCAGCGAACAAATCGATCTTGTTAAGGAAGAGGATGAGAGCAGTCTTTTCAAAATATTTGGAGTTTGATATGGACTCGAAGAGCATTAGAGCCTCGTGCATTTGGTTCTAGCACATGTTAGTAGGGTCTATTGGTGGGCGAGTACCATAACTTACCCCATTTCTGTCTTCTACTAGCACGTGGTCGTAACCGCTGATGGCGACCAGGAAAAGCACCACCTGGACGTTGTCGAAGACGTGAATCCACTTTTTGCGCTCTGACCGTTGACCACCAACATCGACCATTTTGTATGTGAGGTTGCCGAGTTCAAAGATGGTTTCGGAGATACCAGTGGTTCGTAGGCGCGTGCGCAGAATGTCTTGGTCTGTGGGGAGGAAATCTTTTTGGAACAGGCGGTCGATGTCCTGGAAGAAGCTAATGGGTTGTCAGTGGTGGGCGTCGCAAGTGGTGCAAATGGCCTACTAGTTCAAGTTATCGTGCAGCGCATACTGGTTGCCCTTGAGTATGGTGAGCTGCACACCCTTGTCGGCCCATAGGCAGTTGAAAGCCGTGAGAAATTCCTCAGGCATGGGCTCTTCGGTGCCAATGTCGGGCGCGGCGTTGACCATTTCAGAGTAGCGCTATAGTTGGTTAGGAAACACGTGGGTGAAGGGTGCGGGTGCGGGTGCGGGTGCAGATACGTACAATGTTGTCTTCATCCTCAAAGTCGGTGTCGTCCTCTTGCATAGCCTGGAAAATTGTCTGGAAGGCCGAAACGAGGTTGTTGAAGATGGTGGCGCGCCAGGTCTTGCGCTCCATGCCCTGGAAACCACCAGCATTGATGATTCGCATCTGCTTGAGGACGGTCGACTTTCCGCTCTCGCCGGCACCTGCACGCTGATCTCAATCGAAGTGGACTTGTGGTTGGTGGGGACATGCATACCGAGCAGCAACAGCTTGACCTCGCGCTCCGCCCGCTTCTTGTCGGTGCGGAGCGACTTTTCTATTTCGGCATTTTTCTTGGTAGACTCCGGGTCCGCAGTCGAGGGTTTCCGTCCAAAGCACATGATTGCTGGTGCCATGTAATGTGGACGGGGGGGAGGTGAGGTTGTGTTGTCGGGGGCAGTCGCGATGGAGCGGGAGAAAGACGCAACGGATGATGCACAGACAAGCACACGGCAGTGGGCTGACAAGCAAATGCCTACTCTACTAGGGCGTCAGTTGAGGCCTTGGATGGCCGTGACTAGCATGATACAATGACAGAATGCCGGCGCTACCGTTGGTGGAGGGGTGCACTGGGGGACCCAAGGTGAAATGGTAAGAAGGGCTAGCGAGGCAAGGCGAGGGCAGTGCGCAACGAGGGACGAACCAAACGACGACGGGATTGTTGGGCGGCGACGGCGGCGATGGTGATGATGAATGAAGAAACAGACGAAGAAGCAACTAGGCAGTGCCGGTGGACAGAGGACGAATTACAAAAGAAGCGGCATGCAATTTGCCATCGAGGCACTAGGGAGAGAAGCTGGGCAGACTGGCGCGAGATAGGCCTGGGCTGTCTGAGAAATAACGAACGTGTTGCCGAAGAATCCCTGATCTTCGCCGTTCGTGTTGACGGTCCTTGCTCGTCTTGCAGCGGCGACGGTGGGCCGGGGGGGGACAGGACGGGCAGTGCTAAGTATGTTCGCCCGCACATGTTCTTTTGCGACGCGGGCAGTCAAGCAAGGGCAGGCCAAGGGCAGGTCAAGCGTGCACGGCGTGACCAGTCAATTGTCGGGCACGTCGAGGCTGCTTAGGGGAGCGATCGGCGGCGGTAGCAGCGATGGGAACGGCGAGGGTGCAATCATGGACCTGTTCGCGCAAGACACGGGAAGCTGGCGCGGCGATCGATTTCGGCTGCGGCGCCCAGCCCAGCGGACTCAAGCCTTCGCCCTCGCCCTCGTCCTCGCAGCTCGTCTGTGTGGGCGACGGCAACTGTGAAGTGCATTGCATTGAGCCTTGGCATGAAAAAGAAGGCGAGGAAAAAAAAAAGGTCGCAAGGCTCTGCGTCGGGGAAGCAGGCCAAGGCAAGCGGGCGAATGAGGGCGCGCGACAGGATCGTGGGTGCGGTTGGGGAAGAGGATGCGGCCGCCTCGACGTTTCACTGCCAGTAGCAGTCCCACCAGCGAAGCCGCCGCTCCAATGCTGAAGCCCGCCAGCCCATGCCCGCCCATTTACATTCATCACGCACACACACACACACACACACAGCATGACCTGCTAACCAAGCCGCGTGTCCCGGGCAGTGCTCTGCAGTCGACTACGCGTGTGCCACACATGTAGTGTGTATGTGGTATATGTAGTAGTGTATACATAACGTAGTATAGGCAAGGACGGTGTGCTAAGATTAACTCGATGGCTGGCTGGCTGGCTGGCTGGCTGGGTGACTGGTGGGTGGCGCCTTCCAGCTGCAGAAAAGGGCAGAAACACACGACGGCCCTATCCGCACGCCTACTCTCCGAAAGTGGACCCACGGCAACCAAATGCTTGTCCAGCTCTCCGCCGCTGCTGCATTCCCATGCCCAATGCCCACCTTTTTGCCTGCTTTTAGAGCAAATGCGAACCTGTCTCTCTCCTGAGCCGACCCGACCACGAGGGCTGCTCTCTCCACTCCCCACCCGCTATACTGCTTTCCATCTCCCCTTATCTAGATGCGTCCATGGCTACATGCTGACTTGCTTTCTTCACTCACCTACATATGTACTTGTGTACTTACAGACGCCCAGCATGTCATCGACGCTCCTTCCCCCTTCCTGCATCCGTCCCATGCTGCGGGTAACGTGGACAGGTTCTCCCGTGCCCGCCCCCCCTTACTTACACAATACATGCCTGCAAATAACCCGCTGCCACTGCCACTGCCACTACCACTACCACTCTTCCCGCCACCTCCACCATCACTCGCCTGCCCCCTCCACATCACCCAGCCCGCATATTCCACTCGCTGCTCGCTCTGCCAAACGTCACACGGCGCGCTGCGCTGAGCCGTCGTTCGCTTGGAACCACCGGCTTGTCTTGCCATGATCGGGAGGCTGCATGGCGCACGACTAGGTACCACCTCGGCACGCTCCCTATCGAGACACAAGTGTCCTGTCGACGCTCCTGTCACCACTGACATGCCGAGATTACAGCGACACAATTTAACACTGCCGAATGGGAGTCCCACCCGTCTGCCTCGTTTGACACACGCCGCCCATATCATCTACTGCATACTTACTCGTTTGCTTTTTCTCCGCGCCTCCTCTCGCTTCCCCACCCGTCACAACCACCATGTTTGTTTCCGGAAAGGACTTTCAGACCCTCAATATTAACCTGCAGCTTGACTCAGCCCCATTGCTTTTGGCCCCTCTAGCTGCATCCATCTACACCTGCTGGGTACGGGTACCCATGTGGAGATTAGGCCCTGTGTGAACCTGCATTTGCCGTGTGCACACCTACTTACATGTCTATCCATCTATTGTGTATTATTATTATTATTATTATTATTATTATTATTATTATTATTATTACCTCTCGTCTTCTGCTTCAAGGTCGGCACGCCTGCCAGTCCCTGGCATGACTAATAGAGCAACAATAATGCTCGCAAACCTTCCAAGTGTGTAACATATGTGCCACTCTGGGTCGTCTTTAAGCCTCTAACAATCCCCACTGAACTTACTGTGCACTGGCATATACACACATGGCACTTGTTTACTTCTGATTCTTGGGCTTCTCCTCATATCTCCAGGGTCTCTTGTGCCCTCACATCTCGTACCACATATCTTGACATGCCATGCCTTCTGCTTTGCCATCTCGTGCCGTAGTATATCTTATATAGTGCATTGACGCTATTACATATTGACATGTTACAAGCAATACACTCTCTAGCTATACTTTGGGTCGACACCTTCTACGTGCCAGCTGTGTGTTATCTTGCCTTCGGCACACTCTGCAGCTATTGCAAGCTAAGGTCACCTCACACTTTCTACTTTGCTCATCATGAGACACTTTGTGCGTTCTCTGTTCATGTATCTATTGACTGTGAGAGACTTTGTTCTGTTGCAGTCACTTTGATATCCTCGCCTGTGGGTGAGAGGCGCTCCTGCTATTACTCACCATGGTAGTGTAAACACGGCACGAGCCTCACCTACACGTCACCCACAACCCTCACCATCTCTACACAACAGTCCACCATCAAGTCAGACCGAATTTGGCTCCTACTAACCGCCACCTGCAAAGCTCCACTTCGTAGGCATGGCATCTGCAAATTCATACAGTGGCCCAATGGCTCTGGAAAACTCAAAGTATGCAAGTCCACTACAGAAGAAGTCATCTTCGGTCACTTCCACGCCTTTCCTGTCACCTGTCGCCACGCCGAAAAGCGGCAGCACCTCCGCAGTTGGTAAGCACATTGCACTTTCATAAACGAATCGTCCTAATGCACTAGGTTCAGAGCAGAACAATTCCGCCGTCCAACTCGCCATGGCCCATGGAAACAGTCTCTATGATGAGGTGAACCAGCATGCTGTGAAGCTGTCCACCGTCATCTCGAGCACGATTGCAAACACTCGCCGCTTGCTCAACCTCATTCGAGAGGCATCTCCTGATACGAGCAATGCCACCGTCGAGGCCCTGTGGGATGAATTGGAAAAGCTCTACACTGCAATGAACGATGCAAAGGCAGCACTGCCCACGTTTCTGGATAAGCAGCGTAACAATATCAGCCTGTACCACACTGCCATGATGAATCAGATGATCCAAGATACGCAGCACGAGCTAAACATTCAGCACAAGAAGGTCAGTTCACCTTTACAGGACTTCGTACCCTCATGACACTTGCTGACTTGAAACAACTATAGGTTAACATTCAACATGATCTAATCCTCGAGCACCATGAAGCATTTCACGCATACAAAGAGCAGACTGCCGCCAAAATCAAAGACATTGAGGCTCTGCAGGAACGTGTTTCGCGTCTCACGCTTGAAAAAGGCAATCTCCGCACTGAAGTGGACAAGTACATGCAGCTTCTCGAAAAAGAGCATGCTGCTAAGGCTGAAGATCTACGCAAGGCCGATGCCATGCAGAAGGAACTAGAAACTGTCGTAGCTTCTAACAAACAGCTTCTTGTAGAAGTCGATGCGCTGCGGCAGAAACTCGAAGAGCATCAGGGCAGGACAAAGGCCGATCAAGAGTCTACCGAAGAGCTGAAGTTAATTACTGGCCAACTCGCTGAAGAAAGGAAGACGACCGCAGCCCTTGTGACAAAAATGACTGGTTTAGAAGAGAGTGAACGTATCGCTCGACTTGATGCCGACAAAGCCAACAAAGAGCACAAAACTCTGAGCGAGAAGTACAGCAACCAGGCAGCAGAGCATGCAAAGGCTTTTGTGGTATGTATATTCGACGGACTGTTCAAGTGCAGATAAAGCTAATACATTTTTCAGAAACTTCAAGAGCAATCCAAAGAGATCGACGGTTTGAAAAATGACGTCGAACGCTTACAGAAGGAAAACACTGAGTTGAAGCAGCGCCTGGCCGAGCTTGCTGATATCGACCACCAAGTCATTCAACTCGATCATTCAAACTCGAAGTTGTCAGGGCTCGTTAGCAGTCTTACCAGCCAGTTGAAGGCGGCTCAAGATGAAGTGAGCAATACCAGGCTTGAAAAGGAGGCATTCTTCGAGAAGGTGGAGTCATTGGGCAAGGGAGTCGAGCCCACTGATTCCGATACCGCTGGTCTCGTTCACAAACAGGCCGAGAGAATCGCCGTTCTTGAAAACACGCTGGAAGAGTGGACCGACCTCGCCAAGCGCTCGTACAAGGAATACAAGGACATGCTTCCGACGTACAGGCAGGCCGAGCAGTATCGCAAGGATGCTCTCGACAGGGAGGAAACCATCAAGGGTTTGCAGAAGGAGCTTATTGCAGCCAAGGCTTCGCAGAACAACGGCGACACCACGTACTGGAAGAACAAGTATGAGACTCTTCTGGCTACTGTTTCTACGTGAACTGGCCATTTACACCGGACCCGATGATGCTGCATGAGAGGTGGGAGAGATGGAGACAAGGTTTGAGAACCATGCATGTCACTTCATGGATAGTAGTATGAGCAGCTCTCATCAGATGTGTCCTTTAATTGATAAATTCAAAGGCATGTACCAATAGCTTTTGACTCATGACATTGATCCCAAGTGATGCTGTCTCGCAAAATTTTATGAAGTACAACGGGAGCTAGGGAGAATCCATTCAAAAGACATCCGTCATTCAAACCACAAAGGAGAAGAAGAAGCATGCTAGTACCCAAATATCGATAGTCTCTCTTATGCCCCTCTACCAACTATACCGCATATCTTATACTCCCCAACAACCTAACTCTGCAAGCTTCAAAAAAAGACTGATATCCTACGTCACAACCCATAAACTGTCTATAATGCTGTCATTACCATAATTTTCCACGAAGACAGAAATAGCAAAAAAAGGGGGGGGGGCGCTAAAGGAAACAGCCGCCCCTCCCCCCCGCAAAGAACACCATCTGCATTCGATCGTGCCAGTTTCTTTTCAAGCATGTTTTTTTGTCTCTTTCTCTCTCTCTCTCTACTTGGTTTGTGTCTTTAACTTATTCGTATTCGTGTTTGTTGCTAGCATGGTTATCCATGTTTAGCCGGGAAAGACTGATACGAGGTACGTCATGGCAAGTGCGGGGTGGGGGAGGGAGGGGAAGGGAGAGGAGGATTAGAGTGAATTTTTGAGGTTGGGTGGGGATGAGATAGAGTATGAAAGAAGGTTATGCGGTGAGTTTTGTTGGGCAGGTGGTGATTGTATGAGGTGATGATGGCGCTGTTGAAAGAAGTGGGCCATCGGGGGGGGCTGTAAGGTATGTGTATTGCTGAGGTAGCGCGGTACGCACACGCAGAATCACATCAGGAAAACGCGGGGGGCAAAAGGGGGTTAGAGGAGGACGGCAGTGTTTGAGAGGCGGCATGGGGTAAAGACCGTTTGAATGTACATCTTGATCTCAAAACCTTCGTGCCGTGGAGGGCTCCGAGGAGAGAGAGAGACGGTTAGTTTGTTAGTGATTTGCAATTCGGGCACGCGGATAGAATCCAGTGGCCAACGCACGGAAGGATGGATCCGGTTAGTTTGGTCATGTTACATCAACGTGCACCAAGCCATTCCACGTGATCTAGGCAATAAGTGTCGATGCGAGGCTAGTAAGTCTGCAGTAGCTTGTGTGGAGCTGCCCTCAGGGGGGGCGCAAAGTAAAACCAGAAGAGAGAAAAGACGTGAGAGGCCGGAACTTACCATGACCATGGTCGAGAATTATGGACCCACATGGTCACGGTGTTGCGTTGGTGTGTTGCAGAAAGGCCAAGTGTAAGCTACTGCACCGACCGCGATTTGACATGTCGATGCTGCCCATATACCTACTTAATGGAGAGTAGACGCATATGCCAGCCATGTCGGAAAGAGACAAGCCGCTTGCCCCTTTTATAAAACCAAGGTCCTTCCATGATGGTGTCATGATTTCTCATTGGCTTTCGATTCGACTGCCTGCATCCTCTTCCGTTTAGGTCTACACCTTGGTGTAGGTACTCTAAGACCATGTATGCACATATACATAACAATAGCTCGTAGAAAGGTGAGAGACGTGGGATATGATGATACCCAGGAAGCCAAAAAGTAAAAAGTACCATTTCCCAGGCCCATGGGATCGATTCCTCCGACTCGTATCTCTGGGGAAAGGGACATGCCACAGATCGTGGGCCGAGATAAAAGCAATGTTTAGTGTCCGCGCCTGAGTGCCTTCAGACGCACTGTGCGCTGCCGTGGTGTAAGCAGGAAGGATACTTCCTGTCCCGAGAAACCTCCCCAGCATCTCCGTGAATACACCTTCCGCAAAATCAGTGTGAGTTTGGATCTACAATGGCAGAACGACGGTCAAGATAGAGCATCCACTGGCTGTCTGTTTGATAACATTCAACATGGCGTGGTTGATCTGCAAGTCCGCTGCGATCTGCACTGCATGTGTACACCTAGCCAGAGTCCGCGGAACTTTGCGGGGGAAGGGAAGGGAAGAAAGGAAGGAGTGGACGCCAAACTTTCCGTTGGACGGCGGTGTGGCTTGCGGAGGACCCTGGGCTAGAAGGTATGGAAGCCATCGCGGAACATTTGTGTACAGTTGTGGAGACGGTACAGACGGCTAGAGTCGGTCAGGATGAAATGAGCAGTTTGAGACAGCAAGACGGCTTGATGTGAGTGGTTTTGCAATGCTGGAGATGTGGCTTTGCCGTGTGCAGCCGTGTCAAGCAAGGCAACTAGCGCATAGCGGCCATGGGTCGGATGATCCTTGGAGCTGGGGCAGGCTTGGACTACCGTGTCAGTACAGTATCCGATACTGCGGTGTTGAGTTCAGCTTTCAATGTCGCCCCTAGGTAATCATTGGCGAACGTGTGGCGCAGGCCCTCGATAGCTTCGGTCATAGTAGGGCGTCGTACGAAGTCAGTTTGCCCAGCCCGTCCATGGACACACCGGATGGATAGTGCCCGCCCACCAAATGAAGCTACCGACAAGGGCCTAGGCTGCAAAGGGGCAAGAGACCTCGTGCAAGATGAGGATCAGGTACGCCTGCATTGACCCGGCCCACCAAACACGTTTGAAGGCAGGCTCAGCGAGGTGGCAGTGGCGCTGGCAGTTGCACCATACGGTCGAGAGCATGTGGTGAGAAGGGGCGGACAGAAAGGGTGGTGGCAAAACACGCTCACGCTGCGACAAGGTGTGGCAAAACGGCGCTTCAGCTGCAGATCGCCAAAAGCTTGAGTGGCCAGGAGGCGCAGTGTTTGGCTGACTGCCGTGGGCGATGCGTTCACTCTACAGATGCATCGACGTGGGCCGCGAGTGGGATACGGAGTTGAGGCGGATTAAGCAAAACGCGCTAGTCCAAAGATGACTAGCCTAAGTGGAGCCAGCAAAATCGCGTGTCGTCGCTATGCATGCATGCCCTTCCACACAGACATCAAGGCCTGTTAGCTTCGCTACGCACGACCGTGGTCTGCCATGGCGGCTTATTAACAGAAAACATTTAGCACAGGGCGAGGCAGCCTAGGGGAGGCTGCTGAAAAAAAACTTCGAGTCCTGCAAGCAAGAGAAAAAGATCTCCGTCGGTCCAATACTCGGTCCCATTCCCCCGCCATCCGACTCGCACCGCTGCACACACGCCCCGATGACGACGTAAGGTGCTAATTGCGGATGCGGTTCTTCAGCTCATGGCGAAGTTCCCTTACCCTTATACCTTCTTATGTGCCTTTTTTCGCCGATTGAGACGCGGAATATCAACGGTAGCCTAGGGCTGCGACTCGCCAGTAACGTGTGGATACAAACTAGATGAATCAGCCCCCCATGGCTACTCCACGACGCAAAGCATGTGTTGAGTGTCGCCAGCAAAAGGTACTTTTCCTCCATTTCGCTTCGACGCGCAACACCCTCAATCGCCAAACAGACAACAAAACTGACTTTACAGATTCGCTGCGATGTTGAGCAGCACAAGGTCCCACATGACCCATGCGGCCGCTGCAAAAAGATGGGTTTGGAATGTCGCATCCTTCCCACATCAACCAGAAACTTGCGCCAGACAAAGGCTGAGATGCGCCGAGAGTTGGAGGAGTTGCGATGGAACATGAGGCAAGGCCAGGCCCCCGGCGACCAAAGCTATCCCCATTCGACCGCCTCGCCAAATGTCGACATGCAGAATTATACCCCGCTTGAGCATGCTTCCGGCACATATTCCGATCCGTCAGGGAGAACCGACGCGTCGGATTCAATGTCCCCAGCTTTCGATTCAAGGCCTCCCACAAGAAAAGGTTCCGACAGCCAGGGTACCATCCCGCGTGTCCTAGATGGGTTCCTCCTCGATTCCAAACGAATTGACGACTGTTTCGCACTGTAGGTTGAATGCCATGTCAATCTTCTCTTCCGCTGACATAAGTGATAGTTACTTCACCCAATACCACCCGCTGTTTCCAATTCTTGATCCCAGCACAGCCCCTAATGATTACTACGATCAGTCGCCGTTTCTGTTCTGGGTCATCGTTGTCACAGGATCCCGACGGTATTCTGACTATCCCGAGGTGCTTGAGAGAATTGCTCAACCTGTCACTCAGCTTGCCTTTTCCTCAATGGCATTACGCACCTCACAGGTCCCCATCATCCAAGGCTTGTTGATTCTTTGCACATGGAGACTGCCCACAAACTCGATGTACAAGGATACATCACACCTCATGTGCGGCTCAGCGGTACATCTTGCTACACAAATTGGTCTCCACATTGCGGGCGTGGGTCAAGATTTTGCCAGAACGCCCCTCGAGAAGGATCAATCCCTCAAGGTGCAGCGCGCCAGACTCTGGTTGTGCTGCGTCATCGTTTCTATAAGGTAGGTCTCGGATTATATGCGTTGCCTGGAATTCCTTTTGGCTAACGACCTATAGGACAAGTTGCGTTGAAGGCATACCACCTCTTGCTGAATCTTTCTTCGATGGGGACGAACAAGAGCGCGAGGACATGGTTCCTTATCTCCCAGCTGATCTGCAGTATCTCCACAAAGTTTTCATTATCCTCATGCGTGCGATGGTTGCAATGGGTAAAATCAATTTGCAGTCCATCCACTGTGACGTCCGCGTACTGCGGTCACTGATTAGCATATTCGATTCACAGCTTCTCAGCTTGGCCCCATCATCCCCAAGCGACCTTGGTGAGTATTTTTCTCCCGCACTTGACTATTGTTTACTGACCGAATAGACACCTTGCAACTCAGTTGTGCTCGTATCCATGTCATGGCTTTCCATTTCTTTGCTCACCCAACCAATCCTGGACCTGATGCCGAGGGTCTATCTCGATTTTATGCATTGTGCATATCGGTTTTACAGTCAGCATCGACCATGCAGACAGCCACGAAAACCCTCTTGTCCTCCGTATCGCAGTCTTTCGTTGACCGATCCATCACACTGGCTGGTTTTACGATCCTCAGGCTTGTTCGCAGTCCACTCGCGCAACATCTCGACTTGGTCGCAGGCGAGAGAGCCTTTAGTCAAGCGTACGAATTCCTGAAGAATGTGTCTTTGCAACCAGGAGACGTCCACTTCCGGACTGCGCATATCATGAAAGACCTGTGGGGCAGTGATAAGGTGTTCCGAAAGAAGGATGGACGCGTGGAGTCGCTATACCTGAGGTTACGCACCCGTTTGAGCATGAGTGTCAGCTACGACATGTTCTGGTACTGGCGAGAAGAATTCGGCAACATGCAAAATCCTTACAATGGCGAGGAGCCATCACTCGTCGCCAACGATGCCGCTCAGCAGAATGCTGCTCGTAAGTATCTGACCACCTCCTTTGGTTCATTAGTAACTGACGAATAGGCCAAGAATATATATCACACCACCACCAACAACAACAGCAGCAGCAGCAGCAGCAGCAACAACAGCAGCAACAACAACAGCAGCAACAGCAGCAGCAGCAACAAATCCAACAACAACTGCAACAGCAACAGCAACAGCTGACAGATCCTTCCCTGAGGCCCCAGCTTCCAGTAACCAAATTCGATCCGAGCTTAGTCAACCCTCAATTACAGCCCGACCCATCGGTAATGGGTGGTGGTTTCGACTCCTGGGATAGCCAAGACTACGCAATTCCACCTGTACTGGAACAATTTCCGGATTATGATTGGGCTGCTGGATTTGAGTTCTCGAATGCCGAGGTGCCGAATGTTCCGGTTGGATCCATGAACCCCATGATACCTGTAAATGGCGGTGCACCGAACATGGGATACACTTATGGTTAGATTCTATGGCCTCGATTGTCCTCCTGTAATGATTAGGTGGGAAGAAGAGTCGGGAGCTATCAGGATCTACAAATGCAGATCCTGGGCTGCATCGGTATCAGAAACAGGCAGATGCCATGTGCCTGAATGAGCATGACCGTAATTCCAAGACAGTCGTTTAGCAAAAGAAAGACTGGTTCGCCTATCTGAATATCTTTTCAACGATTCTTGGAACATGATCAGATAAGAAGGCGTAGACTGAAGAGATTGGAATGATGACATTGGCAAACCCGGATACGCTGAAGTAAGAAACGGTCACACCAGGGGTCTTTCCTACCATTGAATGGGTGAAGATCATGGTCCAGGTCAGAAAAAGGCCACTGGACTAGAGTGTCTTCTTGTGTTGGAGACGTGTCCGTACATTCGAAGAACCATTATCTCTAGTTGGTAAGGGTTGTTCAGCCGAGAGTGAAAGGGAGCTGGAGGACAGTAAAGAGTAGGCGACACCCATTGAACCACAACAGGTCCGCCTATGGCCTATTTCGATTGGAACCGGACATACTGGCCATCACGGCACCAATGATACGGACGAGTTGACAGACGAGAGGTCGAGTATGAATCGAAAGTGGAATGCTTGCCGTTGTGCTGGCCGGCGGCTCACTTAAATCAAATCTAGCTTCTCGGCTCGCGGAATCCCACGGACTATGCACATGTACATATGTCGGCATCGGTCAGCATACCAATCGGATCATTCCATCCCTCGCTTTCAAACGATGTTACCATTTGCATACAAGGAATTGCGCCAGACATCGGCGGAGCCGAACTGTTTTCTGCACGCTTCTTGTACCCAGCCAGTGAGAGGTCCCGCGTGAGGCGCCCGTATCGGTCAGACTACCGGCGAAATTCGGCAAGCAACGCTACGTCAGCGAGAAGGATGCATTGCGGGGTGACCATCACATGGATTCCTCACATGCGGATGGAGTGTTCGTTGCCGTTTGTGGAGCCTAGCTGAAATGTTTTCCCCAGCTGTATGGTCAATCATAGAGGTTTCAATTGAAAGGTTGTTTTTACTTGACATGTTTCCACTTTGCGCCTTATCCGGTTGTGCTATCAAGGATATTTGACCGACGGAACCAACAGAAAGGCGATCGGTGCAAGCCACACACAAAGATTTACTAGGATGAGCACCTTGGACTCCCATCATCATTTGTCCTCATGGTTGTACTAGGTCCGCAGGATTTCGATGCCAGCGCGATACATACCAAACTAGGCCAAAGCAACCTGTTAGGAGTTTTCTCCGATTGGTTTTCGATCTAAGTTTCGATCGAACCAAAAGCCTCTTGTTTCGCAGATTCCCACAATATTGGACGGAGGTATACCTAGTTTGAAGACTTCATGTAGCTATCGCTTCCCTTTCTGGATCATTTTCACTCGCTTGTGGGCCTTTACATTTTTTCTTCGGGCTGCAAAGAAGGAATAAGAAAACGACGACTCCTTCTCAACGTCTTTGGTTGACAAAGAACAACATTACGCAATACGCCGAGACTCAGCGAGATCTGGTCAGTGGAGAGCAAACTCAAGGCTGTCGTGCCTTGGTTGATTAACTTCACTCACAGACTTGTTGCTTACCATTAATGAACAGACTTCCTCTTAGTAATACTACTCCCACCATTAATAAGATTACCCTACGTCCTTGTGCACAACGTTTCCCCAGCCACCAGTCGTTTTCTTCTTCTACTCGAAACCCACATACATTTATATGAAAATAGAAGATATACGAAAGAGCTAGGCAAATATATAAACTGGGAGAAGAAGGAAAAGAAGGACTTGGATCACATTTGAGAGATATCGTACAAACAGAAGAATATCAAAATGGCAGCCGTTGAGAAACTCCGAGCAATGCTCGCGGATCCAGAAAAGTTTATCGCATGTCCCGGTGTATACGATGGCCTCACAGCACGTATAGCGCTTCAAGAAGGCGTAGATTGTCTGTACATGGTACGCCATGCCACCCACGTCCAATGCACTATACCCTACTACCCTACTACCCTACTCGCCCCTGAACCGTCCCTGCATGTCACCATGCAACTATACTACATGACGACTAACCAAACCACCTGCGACCAATAGACAGGCGCAGGAACAACAATGTCGCGTCTGGGAGTCGCAGACATGGGCATCGCAACTTTCAACGACATGCTCGAAAACGCCTCGATGCTAGCCTCGCTCTCACCACGGACCCCCCTCATCGCCGACGCAGATACCGGCTACGGCGGGCCCGTAATGGTTGGGCGCACAGTATCGGCATACATCCGCGCCGGCGTCGCAGGCCTGCATCTCGAAGACCAAATCGTCAACAAGCGGTGCGGCCACCTCAGCGGCAAGCAACTCGTCAGTGTCGAGGAATTTGAAGCCCGGATCCGTGCTGCGCGCCTCGCGCGCGATGAGTCCGGCGGCGATATCGTCATTATTGCGCGGACCGATGCGCTGCAGTCGTTTGGCTACGACGAAGCGCTCAAACGGCTGCGTGCTGCCGTCGCTCAGGGCGCTGAAGTAGCGTTCCTGGAAGGCGTCACGACGGCTGAAGAAGCGAGACGTATCTGCGTTGATATGGCGCCGACCCCTTGCCTCTTCAATAACGTACCTGGCGGCGTCTCACCGGACTACAGCGTCAAGCAGTGTCGCGAGATGGGATACAAACTTGCCATCTTCCCGCTGCTGGCTTGCGAGGTCATATACCCGGCTGTGCGCAAGGCGGTGCAGCAGATGAAGGAACTGGGCAATGTCAAGAGTGTTGAGGAGGACGGCAGGAGATACGGGCCTCGGGAGTTGTTTAGGCTGTGTGGAATGGATGAGCTGATTGATTTTGATGTCAAGGCTGGGGGGTTGGGGTATAAGAATGGGGCGTGAGTGGCGTACAGTCGAACCCGACTGGAGCTCTTATATCGTCATTACTGGGATGGTGACGCTAGAAAGGAGAGATGATTGGCGGCGCTTTTTTTTGTGTTTTCTTTACTTAAGAGGGATATATGATTGGGAAGGAAGAAAAGGCCTTTGGGAGTTGTTGTATCTGTTTATATAGTTATATGATCTCTAGCCATCATGTCTACGGGCCTTTTGTCGACTTGGTTACCCCCCCCCCCCCCACATGATTCAACCTTAATCCAAGACTTCGATTGTGACTAGACTGTCAGGAAGAAGAATGGCAGGGAAACAGTGTCTGAGAAGCTACAGCACAAAAACGTTTAATCAAAAGCACCAAACCGAATCGTCATGGCAAAAGAAACACGTCAATGGGTGAAAGAAAAGAGAAGAAGCAGTAGCTCAAGCAGCAACCGTTTGATATGCAATTCGAAGTCGCCTCGTTTGTTTTCTATGTACTTTGAGCATCTAACGTGCTTTCTAAGGATATCTTGGGTTTCAAACACATCCCACTACCTCTCTCTCACCCCTTGCCTCCACTCACATATTTACTGAAATTTCTTTATGCAAACGAAGGACAAGAATTTAAAAATAAAATAAAGAGTGCTGAAGATGCTTTATGTGACAAACAACGGCATTTAAAGACCCCCCTATTTGAAGAAATAGCCAAAAAAGAAACCACCCGGGAACCGGCCCTAGCAGCAGGAGCCAAAAAAAAGGGGAGCGTAGAATTGAGGTCGCAAAGCCCCTTGTTTTTTTTTGGGTTTTACAAGAAAGGTAGTACTACGCCCTTTCTTATTGGGCTCCCTCTGCCGTCCACGGTGCTGCCTTCGGCACTGTAACCGGAATCGCGATCGACGTCGTCATTGTCAAAGTCGATGTCGAAGTCCGGTTCCTTCTCCTCATCTTCTTCGCCGTCTTCCTCGTCGCCGTCCCACGCTTTTTGCGTCGCGCCACGCGAGTTCCAGCGCAGGGTGCGGCTAATGCTGTCGAACCACTCGGTGGGTTGTGAGAGCACAGTAGGGAAGGGGTACTGAGAGGCTGCGATGGTGACATGGTCGCCCTGGCGGAGCTCAACGCGGCCCTTGCCGTCAAAGGCGCAGTAAGCGGTGGCGCGCGACTTGAGAGGTACTGCGATCCTGAGAAGCATGCTGTCGTTGAGAAGCATGGGGCGGAAGGACAGAGTGTGAGGGCAAATCGGGGTCAGGAGAATGGCAGGGATGTCGGGATGGACAAGGGAGCCGCCTGCTGAAAGCGAGTATGCGGTGGAACCAGTTGGTGTGGAGAAGATGCAACCATCTGCTTGCACGACAGTGAGCAGGTTGTTGTCACCGTACAGCTCCAAGTTAGAGACGTAGGGCGATGGGCCACGGTCGATGACAAGCTCGTTGAGGACCTCGAACTGTTCGGCTTCGATGTGTTGAGGCGATCCTTGGGCAGCGTTCTTCTGGTAACGGTACACGGTGCAAGTGAAGCGCATGCGTAGGTTCACGCGCATACCTGTTTCGCACATGATCTTGTCCAGCGCAGGGCGGTACTGTGCAAACTCAAAGTTGGTAAGGAAACCAAGACTGCCGAGCGAGAAGGACAGGATCGGGGGTACAATGCGCTGGAAGAGCCACGAAGTGAAAAGGACGGTGCCGTCTCCACCGAGCGTAAGCACAAGGTCGAAGATCTCCGGGGTTTCCCAGCAGAGATCTGGAGTCCACCAGCGAAGCATGTTCTCGTAGCGGGGGTCCTTTGCCAACAAGGATGCGGCATCGAAGCGCTTCGACTTGCGTAACTTGTGGTCAACATAGACATTGACGCCCACATCCGATCCGTAGCGGGAGGTGGTCATGAGCCACTCGGCCAGTTCGCGCGTAAGATATACAAGGTTGTTGTCGCGAGCCTTGGTGACGATCATAACATTGCGCACTGTCATCTTGATGGGACGGCGCTGGAGCTGCTTGGAGACCTCGCGGACACTGCATGCGGTCTGCATGAGCCTGGAGTGCGAGATTGTCTCGTCTTCGGACATCTCCTCGAGCACCTTGCCCAGGTTGACTGCTTTGTCGAACTTCTTGTGGAAAAAGCAAGGCGATGCAAGCGCCGCCATCTTACTGGCAGACATGTCTCCTCCGTTCAGCTCGAGTTCGGAGAGGGCCTTGGCAAGCTGCGCTTGGGTGATGCTCTTTGAGCGAGCGGTCTTGCGCGCGTCACCAGCACCGTCCGCAGTGGTTGGATCCATGGGTTCTGCCAGAAGTGGGGGTCGGGATTGGAGTGCTTTGAGGATAGTCTGGCGAGGAATTGCCGAGTCGATGGAACAAGCGTTCTTGCGATGTTTTCGGGTGCGGTTCTCACCAAAAGAAGGTAGCCGCGGCAAGACCGAGAGGTTTTCGATGGAGGAAGAGGTGCTGATGGCAGTCGAAGATCTGTTTCGAGTATACTCGTCTGATGTCAGACTGGCTGGTTGTTGTGTTACAGCGGAGGGGCCGCCGATCTCAGCGGTTGTGACGGATGCATTATACGGTGCGTCCAACGGGCAGTGGACACTGGTTTGCGGAGGTTGGGGCGATTCTGGGCGTTTGAGATTATTTAATGGTGCGTCGGCATCGACGGGTTTAAGGTCGGAGGAATTCGAGTTGGTCCGTGGCGACAGGAGGGGGTGCACCCTCGCCGGGCTGTACGGCTCCCCATTTTTGGAAGTGGCCGATAACATTGTCGCTCAACTAAGTAGTATGCCTTGTTTTTGCTGAACCGGCGCCAGTGGAACTTGTCTAACCGCCTCCGTGTCCGTAAATGGCTGAGCGCAGAACTCGGCAAATGAGATATTAAATTCGGCTCGTGATTTCGGGTGCCGCGGGAATGTATATATACAACGAAGGAGAAACGTAGCCAGACGGTTCGGTCGAGGGAAATCGAAGTATGTGGGCGACTACAAAATATAAAGGACAAAGGAGGCAGTGAAGTGTGCTACTGCATGGGCGTGAATCGTGGTGGTCCTGGCTGCTTGGTTGCAAGAGATGGAGATATTGACAATGGTGAAGGAAGAGTCCGGCTCGACCAATAGAAGTAGGAAGCGAAGAAAAAAAAGAAGAGGGGACAAGAAGAGAGTGGGAAAAAGGCACGCGACGAGACGAGAAGCCGCGTGGGAGAAGGGCGAGCGCGCAATACAGAAAAAGGCCGTAGTGCAGGTTGAGGCAGGCAGCTATTAGGCACGATGCAAGACGTTCTATATTGACTTGACGTCTGCACAACATCGCTGCCATCGCCATTCTGAAGCAAAGCCACACCACGGTCCCACGCGCCAGCCTCAAACAAAGTTACCGTCACTATGTTGCGGCTAACCCACCGGGTCGTTGTGACACTTCGCGCGTCACAAAACTCGTGGGGCCCCTTCGGACATTCTACCAAACATAGAACAAGACCACACTCCAACCACAGCTTTGACACACAACCCTTCGTGCCTCAGGCGGCCCAGAATCAGCTATGAATCTGTCTCATTAGGCACGCTCCACCAGACGGCCATGCCTCGCGACTGTCAACAATCCTTCGAGAGCACTAAGAAGAGTTATTCGGTGAGCAAGGCCTCGCGTATATACATGGTTGTCCCGGTTATCGGCTCATAGCGACACCCTCCGGGTTTGATCCACACTTCACCGCCATGCGTCGGGTCATTCCCATCGTATTCTTCAGAACAAACGCTTTCAGGCAAACATGCAAGGTTGCGCTGCCGCACAACAAAGGAGTTTCTCCATGGACGCAGTGTCCCAGATGTAGACTAGCCTGCTCCTATCTATAATGGACCACCTTGATGCAGATCGACTTCTGGTACAGGGACAGTTTGGGCCAGACTACTCACTCCTTACGAGAAGCCGAGTTTCGCAACAACTCGATCAAGCGGGAGGATACGGCATGAACCTGCTTGCCGTCAAGACCGACGGCCCACACACTTCATACACCTCACATGCCCAGTCGTGGTACATGTCGCGTATAGTAGAGAGCACAATGGGCTCATGTTTGCAGCCTGTGGTGTTGCAGCGCCCGCCCGCGGCATTTGCCTCTAGTTGCCGACTCTCTACCTGACGCTGCGTGCTGAAACACAAGCATCTTACTGGCTGAACCTCGACCTGAATGCGCGCACCTTTCATGTCCTGTCATTTTTCCCCAGCGCTTCTGGGGAGAGAAGATAAGATTATCGCTATACACTGGCAGATGACAGTAGCCTTGTGAAGCGCTTGTGATACATACAGTCAATATATTGCTGACGGTTCATCCCTTGTGTGTCAGAAGGGATTGGCGAGTGAACCATGGTCATAGGGTCAAATTCAGGAGGTAGCAAGAGAGATCAAAGTATGGCGCTGCAGCTAGGTATTGTATATTTTGGCCTCCTGGTCAGCCTCGATGGCTGTCCCAGAGAGTCTAGCCTGTATGCAGTGCGAAACAGTTGCTGAAATTCTGAAGACTTTTGTTTGTGTACAGATGTGCATGACCTTCCAGTCTTCTTATAGCCATTGACATGTCGTGGTATCTAGTGAAGTCGTAACTAAATGAAAAGTTGCAGGTGAGGCGCCTATCGGAGAGCCTTGCGAGCAAAAGTGGGCAGAACAAAGGCCGCCTCGTGAATCTCCTTGCTGTAGTACCTGCACAGAGACTCCTCCTCTTCAGCAGACCAGTTGCGGAGAGGCTTCTTCAGATTGAGGTTGGCGTCCTTGCTGCAGACCATGAAGCCAATCTGGCCGGATGGATAGGTGGGGATGGTGGTGTATGCATACTCGACGTTGGGGAAGACTTCCTTGCAAGCCTTCTTAAGGTTGACAATAAGAGGCATGTGGAGCCATTGGTTCTCAGCTACATGGTAACAACGTTAGCCGCTGCCCGTAAAAAAACACCTGTTCGACATATTGAAGTCGCTGAAGAAAGGCGGACAGAGATTAAGGGGTTGAGAGAGGGCTTACAACCTTGGGTGGTAATGACACCGCCTTCGCGGAGCGCTCCGTTGAGGAGCTCAAAGTAAGCCTTCTGGAACAGAGCCTCAGCGGGACCCTCTGGGTCACTGGAGTCGGTGATGATGACGTCGAATTCGCCCTTCTTGTCCTCGAGGAACTTGAAGCCATCGCCAACGATGGTGGTGGTCTTGGGGTGCTCGAAACCGACGGACATGCCGGGCAGGTACTGCTTGGAGAGGCGGATGACAGCTTCGTCAATGTCGCAGAGAACAGCCTCCTTGACGCAGTCGTGCTTGACAACCTCACGGAGCACACCACCATCACCGCCGCCAATAACCAAGACCTTCTCGGGGTTGGGGTGGGAGTTCATGGCGAGGTGGGTGATCATTTCCTGGTAGCTATGATGCCATCAGCCAACGTGCAGGCATGCCATTGTGTACAATTCAACATACGAGAACTCATCGCGCTCGGTGCACTGAATGACGTTGTCGAGAACGAGGACGGTGCCGTAGTCGGTCGATTCGAAGATGAGGACGTCCTGGTACTGGCTCTTCTCATGGTGAAGAACTTCCTTGACCTGGAGCGTCATGGCCTGACCGGGCCACATGCCGGAAATCTCACGGAACCAGCCATCTAGGGTCGTGAGTTAGCCACTGCTTTTCTGTACTACTAACGCGCGCAGCAAGCAGCTGGCTTGTATCTCGCAAAAGAAAAAGTGTGCCGCCTTACCCTTGATGGTGGGGTGCTCGATGGAAGGCATTTTGTTAAGAAGAGTACGCGTAGAGGCGAGACGGGTGTGTATGAGAAGTGTGATGGGCCTGAAGTAGCGAATGCGGAAAGAGATAGAGGATTGACAGAGCCACCAGCGGATATATATGGGGAGCTTCAGTTTGGCCGAGTTTTGAGTTTTCCCAGTGTTTGCGTTGGTTGGGCACAATTTTCTAGATCGATGCACGTCACTGGTTGTGGGCGGAACTGCCCCGCCATCCCCCACCTTCCTACTGGGTAGGTCCAGCCGCCCAAAGCTTCATTTCCCCGGTCATCTTTTTCCATGTACGTGTAATTGATCCTAGGCGACCGACTGTGTATCACAATATAATTTGCGACTGTGTTTATGAGCAGGCAGCAATGTTGCGGACCATCAGGCTGGTCACGGAGCCGACGTGATGTAGAGGGCGCCGCAAGCGCGAATAGCTGATAATCAGGGTGGTGCAGACAGTTGCAGTCGACAGACACATAAAGAGAAGGAATGTTGGGCATTGAATAACAAACATCAATCGTCCTGTCGTCTGCACAAACAAATTACCCAAACAGAACATGTCCGAGCAAGCTCCAAACAGAAACGCCACACAGGAGGAGCGCAGTGCGGTCGAGCAGATCATCGCAACCAAAGCTTATGTCGATAATCCCGAATTACTACCGTGGTATACGAAAGATGTCGAAGAGCCCGAACCTGCTGTCAGGGACCTGTTTGAGAATTATAGCAAAGTACCCTCGACTGACGTCGTGACGCACATTAAACATGTCAGGGATGAAGCTTTCAAGATAGTAAGCATATGCTGCTACGTATAGTAGCCTCACTAACATTGTCATGTAGTTTCCATACCCATGTTTGGGCAATTGGGGCTTCCTCAACTTCTCAATTGGAGTAGGGCCGGCTTACCAGGAAGTCGTCAGGCGTATCAAGGATGGTGAGCAATTCCTCGACCTCGGATGCTGCATGGGCCAGGACATCCGCAAGCTGGTTCACGATGGCGTCCCATCAACAAACACATATGCGTCGGATCTCAAAAAGACCTTTTGGGACTTGGGCTATGACATGTTCCTCGACAAGCCGACTCTAAAGACGCAGTTTCTTGAAGCCGACATCTTTGACGCCGATTCTCAGTTGAAGCAGCTGAATGGAAATATTGACATCATCAACGCCGCTGCTTTCTTTCACCTTTTTGACTGGGATGACCAGTTCAAGGCAGCAAAACGCGTTGTTCAGCTATTGAAACCAGTGCCCAATGCTCTGATCGTTGGGCGGCAAGGAGGTCAGCCCGAATCGGGCACCTTCGCACATGTGATGAAGGACCAAACTGCTTTCTGGCACAACCCCGAGTCATGGAAGGATATATGGAAGCAAGTTGGTGAGGAGACTGGGACTAAATGGAAAGTGGATGCTGTACTTGGTGAAGAAGATTTGTCGAAGAGGATGAAGACCAGGCTTGTACCTGCTGGAACAAGGTTCATGACATTTACCATTCGAAGAGTCTAAGACTTTGTGCACCTAAGAAAAAGAAGTTTCATAACACTAATCCAAATCAACACGCCACGTGACCCGCAGATTAAGCAAAGATATATCATAGCAGGGATTCAGTACTTGAGATTTACAAAGGCCTTACTAAACGACAGAGCGCGTTACTAGTACAGCTGCGTACTAAAAAAGATAGGCCTGCGCTACTTTTTCTCCACCCAAAGAGTACCAGAGGTTGCCGGATCCCGCTGCCAGTCTAGAGAGAGACAACAGACTATCGCCCAAATCTTACTCTACTATAGGACGCTTAAGAACCTCTAGAACCAGATATTCAGCAATCTTAGTTGTAGACACAACCTCCAGGCCATTCTGAGTAAGCTACAATTAGCCACTAAAGCTATCTAGTTCCTAGAACGACCGTAGATCCTTAGGCACGTTAAGATCGCAGATGCGTAGACGACAGCCGAGCGCTGGGGGGACTATAGGTATCGCGGCCGCAAAACACGAGGCGGCACACCTCTACGAGCTTATAAGCATGGCATACTGTTAGTAGAGCCATTGATTATCGATGATAACATATTACGATGCCACTTTAGTTTTGCGAGCGTGCCTTCGCATGTAAATATTACGCCACGACTTTTTGCAGTTACGCTAGCCACACAGAGTGCAGCAGCGATCAACGATCTGCCCTGCAACGCCTTGCATCGTGGTTTGGCCAGATGCCCATGTGGCTGGGGTGGCGATATTGATTGAAAGATCGAACAATGACAGAAGAGCGAGGGCTGAAAAGCCGCAAGCCAAGTTCCACAGGCAAGCGAAGATCATGTAATCTGGAGTTGAAGGTCCAACTCTATTCGCTAGCTCGCTGTAGGCGTTGCAAGAATGCTTCAGCCGCTCAGCCAAGTCGATTAGCAGAGTTTGAAACCACGGCATGTGAGAGTGGCGGGGTAAGCTAACTCTTCAGCTCCTGCGGAAGTGCTCTTCTGACAGTTTCTTTTACTGGTACCAAAAGTCGTAGAACCACAAGCGGGATTCACAAGCGAGTGGGCTGACCCGCATGCATCTTGCGGTTGAGGATTCGCGATATTGGCATCGCTGCATAGGGTCAAGTCGAAGTACAAGTTGCTTTCTCAGCGGTGCAGATTGCACTAAAGGGTCAGCGGGCTAGCTCATGGTATATAAAGATTATGTTCTCTCAAGACGCCTCAGCTTAGTTAGTATCGTGTACATCCATCAGGCATCATGCTGAGTCTTAAGAGGGTTCTCTTCTTTTTTTCCTTCATATCATTGTGCGTCACTCAGAAGGACCCATTAAAGGACTTTTGTCGCATACACGGACATCAAACTACAATAGTCGACCGCCGGCTCTACGTAGATGGAGGTCTGGTCAATTGGTCGCCTCTCTCAGCAGAATCTATCAACTACACAAGTATGATGCCTGTCAAAGAACCAAGCATACGTGTTACGTCTACGCCTACTTATCACTTCTAGGTACATGGCTGAGATACGGTGAGCTCGATATAGATAAAGACGGCTTCCCCCAGCATTTCCTCCTAGCAAAGAACGATTCAGTCCCTTCCGTCCAAGGTGGCGTACTTTGGTCGGACACCTCGAATAAGGTTATGTATCTGTACGGCGGCGAGTATGGCAATGACAAGCCTGAAGACTTTGTATTGTGGTATTACGATATCGTTTACGATACCTGGAACAGGTCCGATGTGAAAACGCCAGACATACGGCGAGCTTCTTGGGGTATGTTTCTTTTCTACATGTGTATTGAAGAGTGCTGATGACAGAAGGTGCTGGTGCCACAGTACAGGACAAAGCGAGAGGCTATTATTATGGAGGTTGGTTGACTAACGCTTCTGTCCCTGGATACCAATCTCGCACCGCTCTGAGTAACATGCTGGTCTATGACATGCTCGCGAGTTCATTCAAGAACCAATCCGGGCCAGACGACATTCCCCGCGCTGAAGGTGTAATGATATATCTACCTGCTGGGGATAGTGGGTTGTTGGTATATTTTGGAGGTATTCAGTTCCCCTACGGCAATGAAACAGCAAAAGCGGTGGGTTCCTCATCCATCAAGCTGCTTTTACGATCACTGATAGGCGCAGCTTCCAATGACTGTACGTTCCACATAAGCCGGAAATTTTTTTGTTACTCAAGCCTCTCACAGGATATATATGTGTACGATATCGGGAATGATCTCTGGTACAAGCAGAAGGCGAGTGGTGCAGGAGTGCCTGAGAATCGGCGAAGATTTTGCGCAGGAGCCGCGTGGGCGGATGACCGCTCATCTTACAATATGTCCGTGGGGTTATCGTGTTCTGGAGAAGTATCACTGACCAGTCTTAGCTATCTTTTCGGCGGTGCATCAGTCGGTGATGGGGTTGGTTACGGAGATGTATGGATATTGAGCCTCCCATCCTTCACGTGGATCAAGGTGAGCCAGAAATGTCTTGCCCAGGACTACGGCAAAATAAGCGTGGGGACAAGTGCTAACCGTATGAAAAGTTCTGGCCCAGAAAAGAAGACGGTGGTGGCCAAACCTATCCCCATCATTCACTCACATGCGACGTTATAGAGAACTCGCAAATGATCATTATGGGTGGCTCATTTCCCAATGGGACTGCCGAATGCGACGTCTCGCCTAATTACGGACAGCATGGTCTGGATCTAGGTAAGGCGAATGCTAAGGGGGCGAAATGGGCACTGTTCAACCCGAACGTGACACAGTACAAGGTGCCTTTGGAGATAGCCCAGACAATAGGGGGCGGTGCCACAGGCGGTGCAACTATGCTCGCTCCAACAAGCGGATGGGAGGAGAGGGACTTACAAGTACAGTTTCAGCGAGCTTACACGCCGACAACAAGGACACCTACAAGAGACCTCCCCACATCGACGGCGACTTCCACATCAAATTCATCTCCAGCTAAGCCGGGAGGCTCAAGCAAGAAGACTATTATTGCCGGAGCCGTAGGTGGAGCTGTGGGAGGCTTGTTGCTGCTGGTCGCCATGGTTTGCATTTGCTTGTGCATCCGCCGCCGGAAGAGAATCGAGGAAGGCAACAGGCACAGTCAACCGGAACCCCCATTGCAATCGATGACCCAAAACACTTCTCCTCCAATATCACCACAGCAGTGCTCCTTCAGCCCCCAAAGCTTACCGTCGCCGCCCTCATACCACGCGTGGCCTCACTACGCACCAGGCGGTCCGGACCCATCAGCAGTTGCCGCGCCACAAGAGGTGCCCAACGTGCCATCTCCACCGTTGCAGGAGATGCCTAATGTGAGATCGCCAGTAAGCTTCGGTACTCAGCGGCAATCGAGTGAACCATGTGCTTTGGGCATCGATCCGTATTACTCACAGCATCCACCTAAGAGAGCTGAGACAGATGTATCGCCCATGAGTAACTGAAGCGTGATGTTCCAATGTTATATAAATTGTAGTGTAGGACGCCTTTTTTAGTAGTGAGGTTTATTTTCAATATTGAAAAGAAATTAATACATCTTCAAGTG